TTTGCGTTTTGCGTATGCATAATACGTAGCTTGTTTTGCCTGTATACACTCGACGTTTCTATGTAACTACACGTTTGCGTGAGAGGAATTAATTCGGAATAAATTGAAGAGCGAATATCAAATTTGGTCGTCTCTCGATTGGAAATTTTCATATTTTGTTTATTATGATACTTTGAATATTTTTGTTACTTTGGGTACTTTGGCTACATCTGATGTTTTGTGTACTTTTAATATTTCGTGTATTTAAAACATTTTGTGTATTTTGGATATTTTCTATATTTTGTCTTTTACATTTTCTGTATTTGATAATATAATAAATTCTAGGTTTTACAAAATTTGGTAGTATAAACTTTACAGTATGGAAAAGTTCGTACAAAATATTTTACAATATAACAAATATAATGTAAACAACTTTGTCAAATAACTTATATTAAATAACTCGTGCTATCAAGTATAATTCACCCTAATTGCAAAGGGAATTACATTTTGGAATTAAAGTTAAACTATTCTACTATAAATTACTTTTCTTATTTATTTTAAAAAGAAAAGTAAAGTAAATACAAACTAGGTATGATATAGAGCAACTGTGAAACATTAAAGTGATAGGAGTCTTCTTGCTACGTTGTTTATTCCCTAGGGAAAAGTACCGTCCTGAACAGCGTCCGTAATACAACGCGAAGAGATGGCAGCTCAATCTTGGCACATTTTTCGACCGAATGACACAATTAACCGGGGAAATTAAACAGTGCATTCTTCTTTCTTAGATACTTCGTGTGAAGTATCACTCATGGTCCTTGTCGAGAGAACTGCCGTGGGCGATCACAGTTCTCATTTCTTTTTTTAAAACGGCACGTGCTTTTAACGCGAACATTTTTCTGACACGCTTCTCACACTTTCGTGCACGTCAGGTGTGATAACGAGTTACTGAACACTATCGTTAAACAAGTGCGCCTACAGCGAATTCAAAGTTTCCAACTACTGTAAACATGTGGGTATAGAAAGAGATATGAAGATTTTAAACCGTATCATTTGTTTTAAAGAAGATATGAAATATTTGACAACTTGATAATTACAACCTAATCTAGATACCAACCTACCTGGACACTAACCTAACCTAGATGCTAACCAACCTACCTGGACGTTAACCTAACCTCGATGGATGCCAGAAGCTTATAGTCTACCAGGTGCCAGAATGAGTGCATTTCAAATTTCGAGCTACCGTAAACATACAGGTGGAACAAGAGACGCAGAGATTTTAAAGTCCAAACGATTAAACCTGTCCGAAACTATCGAAAACGATACCGAACACGATTATCGTTGATTTCACGACGATCGACGTCGATGACGACCAAGTATTGTCGTCGACGATGAGTTATAGAGCTTCAACGTGCTTCCAGTCGATCTATGTGTGAAAAATTATCGAAACGATACCAAACGGTTTTTTATCGATTCGACGATCGACGTCGACGGGTTCCTGTCGCCGCCAAAATCTATACGGCAAATTTAGGCTGTCTCACGAGTCTACCCTCGAAATTTCAAGTCGGAGGACGCAAAATGGCGGCCTGTAGACAAACAAACAGACAAATGCAGATCGAGTCTCGGGAGCATACGTTCAGCAAAAATGGCGGAGGAGAAATTTATAACCACGTGTGTGATATTAGCTTGGTGTCTATAGTTTTTTAATATAGTACTGATGTTTATTAGTATAGAACAGTATGTGGTAGTACAGCAGTACCTTAAAGTACTGATTCATTTTATTATATTTGATCAACTTAACCTAACCTGAGTAAGTTGAAGGTTACAAAATGGCGGCGTCTATCGATAAATTCGGCTTGAGGTACGATTGACAATTTTAAAATTAGACCAAAAAAATACTGTACAAAATGGAGATCATAGTTATATAAAATAGAGAATGCACTATAAAGTTATTAAATTCCTACGTTCTTAAATTCCTAAATCCTTATATCCCAAGATTCCTATTTTTATAACCAACTCCATTTATTTTTTGTTACCCAAAAGTTAATTTTACACAGATTTCCCAAAACAGCTGCAAATCTCGTCTATTGAAGTAAAAGAAAAATCTGCGTATAATACAAAGCATTTACTTTTCGCATTTACACGGAAGTTCGCGAAAACCAATTTCAGTTTTATTAGCGTTTCTGGTTTACTTTATTTACATGCTGAGCAAAAAGTAAATTGGATATCAGTAGTGTGAGAAAATTAGTATGCAAATATGAACTCTTGACTCACTGATGTTGTATAGAATGTCTTAAAAATTGTAGTATACAAGCTGTTGAAAAATACGTGTGAAAATAAAACGAAGCTTCTTTCAAATCTTGCTTTCGAGAAAATTAGGTCATGAAATTCTTTGAAATATTTGTGAAAATATTTGTTTATAAAAACAGTTACATTTTTAACAGTTCTTTAAGAAATGGAATTTATTACTAGTAGTTAGTAATTTATTATTAGTAAATATTATTTATTAGTTAATAAATATTTGGTGAATAAAAACAAAATAAAATTCACCTCCATCAATATTAAATCCACTCAAATTTTCCCAAAACCAAATAATTACAAAAGCAAGTATGATGTTAATAATTACAAGTCATTACTGAAATCAGATATTTGTCTTTCAGTTTAATTTTGCATACACATTTTCATTTTTAATTTCCCAAGCAGCTAACGCGATATCTTTGTTATCAATTGTGTCGTGCCGTACTGTAATAATAATTCAGAACAATGGTCAAATATGAAATGCATCGTTAGTACGGATGAAGGGGTACGGTTAAAAGCGTTTGTTTCTACTTAAAGCAACGTTGTCGAAGAAAATGAGGTACAAACATGGCGTCTGCACGTGCGTATGCAATTTATAACTTTTAATAGCAGCGACTCTAATTGCTTTTATTCACTGCCATTCGCAATTATTAACAGATCTACGTTCAAACGTTGAAATATTGTCAGCTATGAATTTTTAAATGAAACTCGTTAATTAATACCTGGTAGCTTTTTATATTTTTCTATAATATTGTTACATGCGCGATGAAATATTATTCTTTCAAAGTTTAATTGCTTTATGTAACAATTTAGTATGGGAAATGTCTTAACATAATTTAACTTATGAAGATATTAAGCTATTAAAAGCTATTAAAAGATATGAAGATTAAGCTACTAAAATTATTTAGAGAGAACTCGTATTATAGGTTAATCTTTCAGGGGTAGGTCTCGAGATGTCATTTTCATTTTACCTGTTTTAACCCTGTAACTTACTTCAAATGCGGCAGATTATTGCAATGGACAGAAAAAATGTTCAAACGCCAGGGATATTTGGATATGGATCACCGGTGGATTGTAATTAAAATTAAACTTGAAATTCAATCGTGGTAAAAATATGAGCCACATTTGTCGCGTTTCAGTTATGTGCCTCAAGTGTGGACACGTTATTGCAAGGGGTTATGTATGTGGCCGCGTAGTGACGATCAGACGCGTGGAATCAATAGATCAAGCGAATATAAGTGGATCTAAGAAATTTGACTTCGGACCAGAGTTTATTTTGTACTTGATGACTCGAGAGTCTCTTCGAATTTTTACGTTTTACAAAAGCGGAGTGGGCTTTCGTGACATTGGAAAGTTTCTAATTTTCTATGGGTTTAGCTGAAATTCGGGTGGAAATGCGAGTGACGTATGAAGGTCTCCTAGTGACCTAAGCAAGTAAACAATACCTCGACACGAATAGAAAACTGCGAACAAATACTCTACTGAGGTTAAGTTCACAAGATGTGACTAACAATAAATACTAGAATTGGGTCTTGCTGCTACTTGTTCTTAAACATATTTTAACTTGACGTAAACTGCTTTACAAATGATTTGAAACTTGGTAGCTCAATCAGCAAAATGTCTGCCAACTACCAAAAGAACATACGCTATAGGTAAATTGATTTGCAACTACAACTGTGTCAACTACAAATGTGTCAACAACTATAAACGTGAACAATTATACTTGTCTTATGATTATTACACTGTAACTTGCCTTACAATTATAGCTGTAATTATACTAACATTATACTCTTATATTTGTCTTGCAATTACACGAAGTCATAAAAGTTAATTCTAAGTATCATTTAATTTAACCCGCGCTCAGCGTTTTTCCCAGAGAATTAAGTGAAACCGAAACGTACGTACATATTTGTTGCGATTTAAGCTCGCCTCTCTGACGATGCCGTCGAGTGAGATCTCGATTTACGGCTAAAATTTCAAAGTAATTGGCATCCCTTTCATGTAGGTAAATTCAACCGCACTTTAATAGTATGACATGTTGCGTGTGTCAAGATAACCGGTTCGGTGGTTTAGCTGCTACCACTTCGGATTAGTACTGTGGCTTTCTCGTTTGTCGAATTACTGGGATTACCCAGATTACACGGATCGTACAAGTACGATACGTCTAATACGAGTTATTCCAGGCATATCTTAACGACGGAGATCGTCCTTGTTTAATCGATTAATTAAATTTTATGTCCTCTTTATGCTTTACGTACTGTGAAATGCAATCCTTGCTCCAAATTGTGGAATACGAGTTCTGCGTGCTCTTAGTTGGGAATAGTATATTAGGGTGGGGGCTTTTTGGATGCCTTTGAGATACAAATATATGAACGTGAAAATGGTGTTAGTACGTTCTGAGAATTTGGATTATACAATTTGTGAAATTTCACTGTTTTATATTTTTAAATCTTCAAATTTCTGTGCTTCAAAATTGTAATATTTTCAAATTTCAGTGCTTTCATATTTTAATATCTTCAAATCTTCTAACCATCGAATTTCAATATTTCCAAATTCCAAAACTTTTTTCGGTTTCACAAATTATCAAATCGTCAAAATTGTTTTCTCTAATTCTCAAACCTTCGAATCATCAACTTGTCAGATTTCCCAAATTCTCAAATTCACGTTTACTTGAAACTCTAAATTAATAAAGTTCTCAAACTTCCTATAGTTTGTCACAAACTTACCAGTGACGTTGAGAGTGATATGCTGAACATTGTTGCACTCTCGATTCACAGCCATATATGTGGCTTCACACTTGTAAAGCCCTTCATCTTCCAGTCTGACGTCTGGGATCTTCAAGTAACTCTTCGAAGAATTTGTCGTGTATTCTATATTCGATCTGCAACAGAAAGACACCAACAAACGTTAATATATCAACAATCAATAATTACTATATTATATCAATTCAATTAACAGTAAGGAAACATTGTTAAATGTGTAACTGACTGTTAACTGCGAATCAATTATTTTAAAGCAAAAGAATGATTAATAACACAAATTTTATAAATTACAACGAATTAAATTTTGCCAATAATATGGAAATGAATGCAAATATACTACAGTGTATTGATAATATGAACGATGGAAAGTAAAATCTAGATTCAAATTATGCTCGTTGAAGGAGCAACACCTGACTGCATAATCGCCGAGTTAACAATGAATAACCTCATAAAATTCTACAGAAACATTTATGAGAATAACTCTTTCGATTACAATATCGTGACGCACCCTATGACGCAAACACAAATTAGCATGATCGTCTTCGTGACGCACCTTATGACGCAAAGTACAATTGACACGATCGAGTCTTCATGACGCACTTTATGACGCAAACCAAAATTAACACGATCGAGTCTTCCTGACGCATCTTACAACGCAAAGCAAAATGAGGACGATGGAGTCTTCGTGACGCACCTTATGACGCATTCTCAAATTAACGTGATCGAGTCTTCATAACGCACTTCATGACGCAAACCAAAATTAGCACGATTAAGTCTTCATGACGCACTCTATGACGCAAACCAAAATTAGAACGATCAAATCTTCGTGACACACCTTATGACGCAAACCAAAATTAACACGATCGAGTCTTCGTGACGCACTTTATGACGCAAAGCAAGATTAGGACGATTGACTGTTCGCGACGCACCTTATGACGCAAACCAAAATTAACATGATCGAGTCTTCATGACGCACTTCATGACGCAAGCTAAATTTAGGACACTCGACTCTTCGTGGCACACCTTATGACGCACTCTCAAACTAAAACGATCGAGTCTTCATGACGCAATTCATGACGCACTAATAAATTAACACGATCAAGTCTTCATGACGCACTTCATGACGCAAACTAAAATTAGCACGATCGAGTCTTCATGACGCACCGCATGACGCAATCCGAAATTAGCACGACCGAGTCTTTATGACGCACTTCATGACGCAAACTAAATTTAGGACAATCGACTCTTCATGACACACCTTATGACGCACTCTCAAACTGAAACGATCGAGTCTTCATGACGCAATTCATGACGCACTAATAAATTA